AAGTTTTATAGGTTTGAAAGAAGATATTATACTAGCCCTGTTTACACATAAAAGTAATGAGCGTTGTAATCATAATTAAAAAATGATTTTATTTTATTGTTAAAGAAACATGTCATAGTTGGAGTATATGTTATAGATCTGATAACAACCACAATCTTTCTCCAGTATTTCAGGTAAAAGTGAGACCGAATTATCTTGCCCTTCATGATTCGAAAAAAACTAATGATCCAACAAGAATACAGAATTATAATATAGCAGAGGTCTCCAGAAGGGGGCTGTATGGCGCAAGGAACGCCATTTTTAAGTGAGCACATTTTTACAGGGTTATGGATTTTTGAAAGGGTACATATTCAAAAACTGTGTAGACAAGGAAAAGAAACAAGGAAATAATAGGTAGATTTAAATTGCACTTAGAAAGCGGTTATGGGGGACTTAAGCCAAAGAGTAAGCTTTCTAATGATGCCGGTTGTAAGGTTGAGGAAAATATTAAATTAATTTGAATACTTCCACACTGATTTTCTTTTTATTATTGATTCTTTCATTTTTCTATGCTTCTGGAATAATAATTTCAAATTTGGATTTTCTTAAAAATTAATTTTACATTGACTTAATTAAGATTATAAAAGTATTATTTGGGACGAATGCATTTCCAATCGAAACTCATGCTCAATGAATTTTGCCCCACTTTGCGCCGGTTTGAATCCGGCCTGGGAGGGGTTGACTCTTATTTCGTAGCGGACCCAAGGAATGAAACTCGACTCCCCACTCTGATTAGAATAGGTTTGGTTGTACCTTTAGAAAAACCACTTCATATGCCAGCAATGGTGGGTAGGAGATAATCCTATAGAAGAAAAGATTAGTTTTAATACCTAACTATTAAACTGGAGCGATATTTTCCAGCAGCATCTAATTACTATTATGAAAAGTAAATTGCTACTTTGACTGTTGTGTTAAAGTGTGAAACTCCACCAGTATTGTGTTTCAAATATATTATATTGATAGTATTGTGTTGTATATTCGAATAAACATGTTTGTTAATGTCTCTTATACGTCGAATGTACAAGAAATTATTGCTATATCAGATGAGAATTCTCACTGGACTATGCTCGTTTTAACTAAAATTCATATTAATATATTCATATTGATCTCGTCTAATTATTAAAATATTTGTTTTCATTACTTGTCTGCTAATCGCTTATGACTTAGTTCACTTTATTAAATTTTCTTAATTATGAGTATCAGTCTTACTCGTTTCTAGATTACAGTATTCACAACCTAGTTTCATCCCTTCACGACACCAACCAAAAGTATGACACTTCCTGAAGGTTGACTGAAAGATAAATAACACTTATAGCGAAGAGTCGTGACCGACGGATCTCGTAGGAGATTCTTGGAATCCTTTTGTTCTCATTCCTTTGCGTTCTCTCACAACCCTCTTCTTAATCACCTCTCACCTCCTTGATTAATATGCCTGAATACTTCTGTTGTGAATGATGTCTCTCTCATCGCTTTGGAAGGAAATTACCATTAGACAATTTAGATGAAACAGTTTGTAATATGTGATTTATTCAATGTTATCTCATGTTCGTTTATAAGTGCTCTCTTATCTTAAATGTAGGAAATGCTTAAAAATCATAATCAAATAATTTATGTATACCTAATTAAAATATAAAATATGAATATATTTGCTTAATAAGACGTAATTCGCCTTCGGCATGGTTTCATTGGTATTGTATAATAAATAATCTTCAAATAAATTTTGGTTTATTTTCAATATCGAACTGATCGACCGAAAAATTCAAAAACTTGACCTCCTCTCAAAATTTGACGTTTTACGTTTCAGAATACGTAGAATTCGAAAAACGAATGAAAATTTTTTTGTCCGTTTACCGTCCGCTGCCGCGCATTTTCTCCGGAACTACTGAACCGTTTTTTTTCTTTCAAATTTGGATATCATATCAGAGGTCACCCTAGGATGATCCTCCTTGATCGACATTACCATCGGCCTTTTACTTTAAAAATGGAGGCCGAAAAACCTGCGTTGCTATAGACTGTAGCGCCTAAACGAATGTACCGATTTCAATGAAAGTTCGCCAAAGTCATTTTATCGACGCCCTTTAAATTTATCTATATAACATACCTCAACGAAAAGTAGCTGGAAAATTTTTACGAGAGATGGTAAAATAAAATTCCGAATAACTCAAAAAGTATACACTTTTTTGTAGATATTGTGATAAGATGTTTCAAAGGCATTTAAGTTTCCTAAAAATGAAGGAAGTTTCATCGACATCAAAGCACTATTAGTAGAGATATCGCGATTTTAAAATATTTTTAGTTTATTTTTCAATAATGAACCATTGTGATCGACCAAAAATTTCAAAAACTAAACCCCCTCTCAAAATTTGACGTTTTTTTAATATATTAAACAAACTTTTTTTTTTATATGCTCAAGTTAATAACTCTCCTAGTATATATTTTCATTTTTTTTTTTTGTTGGCATTAAAATTTGCCATACAGCGAGCAAAAAATTATCTGATTGTGTTCCTATTCTTTATTCTTCACTATTATGATTTGAAATATGTCTATTTATTGGCTTATATATGTTAGTGTATATTATATATGCTATCTACATACATATATAAGGTCTAGAATTATCATTAACTAAGGTTTTTTCGCCTTTTAGAATAGGTTATTAACACTCTGTTCAGATTATAGATAATTGAACTGTCCCAGGCTCTGCTAAATAATTAATTGTTAATATAATAAACAAACACTTTTTTTATATGGTTAGGTTAATAATTGCCCTAGTATATGTTAATTATTACAATGTTTTTTCTCTTATCCTGCATACCTTGGCACATTCCACAGAAAGACGTTTTCAACCCATTTTTATAGGAGCCTGTTTCCCAGTCAGCTCTGTGAGTCATTACTTTAAGAGGGCTTAGCAACCAGTTTTTCGCATGTCCTACCGCAAGGATATTAGTCACGATTTAGCAGAGCCTGGAACAGTTAAAAATGAACAGAGTGATAATAATCTACTCCAATAGACGAAAATATCTTAGTTAAAATAGCGAAGAGAAGGATGGTTGGGGTAATCAATTAAAATAAACAATTATATTTATTTTTCTGATTTGAGCTATGGAGCTCCACTAAACCATCAAATTCCTCTCGTATCCAATGCTTACAATCCAAAATCCTTCGTAAAATCCTGAATTCTCCTTACTTTGTCACAGATAAAATAATCCATAATGACCTTGATGTTCTATATGTTTCCGATTTGGCCCAATCCAGATACCTATCCTTCCATAATAAACTTCATAATCATCCGAATCCTCTCGTTTCTAACCTTGGTTTCTCTTCGATTCCTGATAACCCTCTGAGGCGTCTGAAAAGAAGATGGCCCCGTGATCTCCTTATGTAGACATATTATTAGAATGCTACCTGTGGGTAGTTTCCCAACAAGCGTTTTCAAGTGATTATATTCTTGTGTACACTTTTACTTGATGTATTTATATTGAAATACAGTTGTAAATATCTTGAATAAATAGATTAAAAAAATATAATTTTATTTTTATTATTATTATTTTTCGGCCCGAAGTTCAGGCCTTCATCAGAGCTAAGAAAAAAACAGATAACGATAAGAAACTATAAACATTGAATAATGAAAAATTAAAGTGAAAGGTATAGACTAAATAATGTAGGTAGAATAAACTTAAGTAAAATGAAGTAGGTAGTGTGAACATTAAAGTAAAATAGAGTAGGTAGAATAATAACAGTAACAAAGAATTAAGAAATAAATAATAATTACGGCAACAAAGTACGGACAAATGAAATAAATATAATTAACTTTTAGTTTTAAGTTTTAACTTTTTATTCTCTTATACGTAGTCAGTATATTTCGATAGATTTTACAATATCTCAATTTTCTATTTATATCTGTTACATCCTTATATAACTTCATATTCCTTTTCTCTGTTTTACATTTTATTCTAAGATTACATTTTTCATTTCTCGTGTTACCATATTTTGATTATGTTTATTTCATTAGTCCGCACTTGGTTGACGTTATTATTCTACCTACTTTATTTTTTATTAAATTTCACTCTATCTACTTCATTTTACTTTTACTTCATTATTCTACTTGATTTCATTAAATAATGTAGGTAGAATAAAATTACCGAACATCCGTGCCAAGAATGAATCATTATTGTATGATATGTATTATGTATTTATTACACATACTGTTTAGGCGCCAAAATTTCACCGCACCAATTCAATATCAATCTGTTTTCATTTGAAAACTTAACTAATTTTTAGTCGCATTTTACACATTGTCAATGTAGTTTGAAAAATATTCAGTAAGTAATTATATACACCGCACAACACCAAATCAACTATCTGATTCGATTTTTCAATTTTTGTAATTATTTTTTTTCTTAAAAAGTCTCTGTTCTATATTATTTTAAGTGTGAGAATTTATTACTAACATATTGAAGTCACTAATTTTTTTTTTTTTTTTAACGATATGGAATATAGGTAGCCTCACTTTTGACGATAGTATACTTTCGTATTCGTACATAAATCTTGTTTTTCTTGGTATTTTATTAGGTAATTTATTTTGGGATTTACATCTTTCATGTCATTTAATTTTCATGAAATGCTTGAAATGGTGTACTAAATACAACCGAACAAACACTTTACCAAAATTATTTTAGGATTATATGAAAAAAAAAAAATCTTTTGAGCCCGTCATTCCAATGTATATTATCTTAATAATTTTGGAAAGTAAGATTAATCACTTCCATTTGCGATTGGCGAGTATGAGATCCTCTTCCCAGATATGCCTTGGAGGTCTCCTGGCCTTAGAAAGCTATCTTACTGGACACCTGGAATGAGTGGATTTATTCCTTATTTATTCATTGCTTTTACTTTCGAAAGCATTCCCTTTCCATTCCTTGGATATGACTCTATGCTAATCGTGGCCTTGAGAAGAGGGTGGGGTCAGTGCAACATATTAAATTGTAGTGGATCCTATTTTTTTTTTTCAAGGTTATTTTCTTATTTTATTCTGTGAGATCAATATGAGGGGAAATTAAACTTGTAATGTATTGCTTAATTGTTTTTCTTTTGCTAGTTGGTAAAAAAAAAAAGAAAAAGAGAAAAGAAAAATAAATAAAGTATAAAAAAAGACTAATAAAATTAATTTATTAATTTATCCTACGATCTCATAAACAACTTGATTTCCATGTCTATTTGATTTTACTATCTATAAAATACTATAACCACCGAGTTTATTTTATGTAGGAATTCATCTCAATGGCCTAATGGTAAGCTATCATCAGCAATATTTTGTTCCGTAGAAAGATAACTTTCCTTCCATCGGTTATAAAACACTTACTTGCACAAGGCAAATAATTTTTTAAAATATATTTTATTAAACTGTAGAAATTTATGTTAAATACCTTCCTAATCATGTGATTTGCTGGCGAAAACACTTTTAATGTTGCCTACTAAATTGTGTGTGTTAACGATATATTTCATCATTCTTACACATTCTTCCTTAACGATTTTCCTGTTCTCTAGACGGCAGGAAGCCGTAAGTTTCCTCGGAGACTTGACAACCAATGGAGCTCTATACGGTAGATGAGCATGTGGGCCGACATTCCTAGAAGCGCGCGGATAAGGAGATATGAATGGGCAGCCTCCTTTACGCATATGCGCTGCGTTAGAAAGTGCGCTAATATTTTCCCACGATATGCTCGGTCTCTTAGTGATTTGCGGGAAATCTACCTTCGTCCGCTGACCCGATTTCCTGCGGCAGTATTGTAGTTGCATTGGTCATCGTTGTTGTCTCGTCCGTGTTTTATAAGGACCCTCTCGGTAAATTGGCACTCAAAGAACTCTTCTGACTTTTACTATTTGGAGCAATTAAGTTCAGAACCATCCGAATCCTCTCGTCTCTAACTTCACTTCCTCTTCAACCCCTGAAAACCTTCAGAGGCATCTGAAAAGGAGATGGCTCCGTTATCTCCTAATGTAGATACATTATTAAATTGCGGTAGTTTCTCAAAAAGTCTTTTAATGCCATCATATTTATTTGTTTACATTGACTAGATGTATTTTATTTGAATAGAGTTGTAAATATCGTGAATTAAAAATAAAAATAATAAAGACTATTTGAAGCTTATCGTTATAGGCGTGGTTCATATCATCGGTACTATATTAAAAGAATGAATGAAATCCTGCCCAAATTTTACTTTAACATGGTGCCAACGATCTGATAATAATAGAAATATTCACAATAAATTGGTTTAACGGACCCAAATCTTATGACAACAGCTCTAACAATAGTTTACCTTCATTTCGAAAACCAAACCTACAACTTGGTCAGTCCAAACACAATACTCCAACTTGCAAGCTGGCTGTGTACTGTGTAGATGATTTTGTTTCGCCGTGTGCAACAAGATTAAAGATGGCGGGCATAGTCATTCCGTGAAAAAGGAATACTTTCATGAAACTTAACGAAAAAAATAATCCTTTAAACCAGTTTGATAGCAGAGATGCTTCTATAAAACGATAATGTTAGTTTCTATTAAAACAGCTCCGTTACCTACACTACTTACTCATTACTCATTCGATACTTTAACGCTTTTTCCGCTTTCAAAGTTTCAGAGACGAAGAAGTGTCCTTTTTCATTAAGTTTTATATAAATATTCTTTTTTTAACGAAATGTTTAATTGGTTCAATTAGTGGCACCGTATTTAGTCCAGAGAGTATGACGTCTTCACGCGTATTCCACTGATTGTTTTAATTTCTTACAATAAAATTTTTATTTAGTGTATAGATATTTTAAAATTTCTTGCAAAAAAAAAAAAAATAGTTGAAGATGTTTAATTAACGAAAATTTGCGTGAGTCATTGCAATCTCGGTAATCAATTTCCCGTCTTGATTCTGTGGAAGCTTATCATAAGATAATTCCTCAACACTTTATCTTATGTATAAATAAACTTTTTTTCTTGTAAATATATCATATAGCCAAAAATTTTAACTTGGATTGTTTTTTTAAATTTTTGATTGTTGCATCAGTTTTTACTACTTTAAAAAAAACAGTTTACAAAACAAATGAGCTGTTCCAAACCTTATAAACTATAAAAAGAAAATAAATAATAAATAAATCAGGTAATACAGATTTTCTTTGTTAATGTATTGCTGTACTTTTAAAGCCCTTGTTAAATATTTTAGTTTTAGAAATTTAAAATGTTTTTTGGTTTTTAATATTATTCATTCATTTTTATATCTCTTAAAAACTTTTTCGTTACTTATCATAAATAATTTATTTTCTATGAAAATAATTTTTACTCCTAAGAAGTATAATTTCAAATGAAAAAATACATTATAACAACATAATATGTCAAATTTATGACAATAAAATTGTACAGTACTCATTATTGTTGAATAGTCAAAAAGGCATTACAGTTTTAATTTTAAAATATAATATACTAGTCATAAGGGCAATGATTAAATTTATTCATGAAAATAAAGAACAAATTGTAGATAGGAGGAGTTTTTAAAACTGTTTATTTCACCGTCAACTGGTTAGCTGCTTATAGATTGGAACAGTGCTATGGCTGGTTCTTCATTAATAAAATTATTAAAACAATTGAAACGCACAATAAAGCTGCTACATAGAGCTATATTGTATTTGTATTAATATCTGTTCGAGAACACTGTGTCTGAGTGAACCTTTTCTGTATCTGTTCCTGAAAGCTTTATAAATCAAACACATTCATTCAGTGTTTCTCGATTTTTCATTCGGTATGGATGTCTCCATCTACTAACCTGGTACTACAGAAAGATGTCTTTCTTTTTATCTGTTAAATTTCGATTGAAACTATTTCAGTTTTATGAAAGAAAATGTTTCAACTTATCAGTTTGATACTAAACATCTCACTACTGATACATTACATTTATCAATGTAGCAAATACATAGCAAATATAAATTATATAAAGACTCATTTAAAAGTTAAGTGATTTGTACAAAGAACGAGTGCAGACGTTTTTGGTTCATAAAAACGATAGCAAAAATAATGAATTTAGCTCTGCGTGATTCTAGTGTTTCATTAACTGTTATTTTAAGATCACATGTGCTAATATAAATTCTAATTCAAATTTGTAAATTCTGTCGAAAAAAATAATCTGTTTACATTTTATTTATTTGACCACCTTCTTCCATTATTGTACAGGATTATAGAATATAACAACCAAACTTTGACATATATCAAAATAAAAATTATTAACTTCTAAAAACCAAATAAAATATTTTAAGATGCTGTATAATTTTAGGTTTGTGCATTAATATTAGTGCTTGAGTGAAAACAATTTACTGACCTTGACACATGTGTTTTTATACTAAACATCAAAGATGACAAGTAATCAAGATTAAAAACTTTATGCGCTAAATTGGGATTTTTAAATTTTGATACTTTTAATATTATTACACACATTATTGCGTGGGTGTGTGTAGAAATGTGTGAATATATGTACGTATTTTTGCTTAGATATATGGATGGATGAGGAGGAACGGATTGATTGGACTTCTAAAGGTCACTGGATGGCACGTCAAGGATGGTCTTTGTCTTGATGTTCGCACCACGGGATTAGTAACTATGATTGTAAGAAATCGATGATTGTAAAAGATTAATTACGCAAACTGGTATGTTCATCCATTCATGTATGGCACAACATCCCGTCACCGAGACTGGGCCTCCTCCAAGAGCCTCCGCCAGTTGGCTCTGTCTTCTGCTGCAGCTCTCCAGTTCCGCACACCAAGCAGGGTTCTCGCATCATAGGCCACGTTGTCCAACCATCTCGTCCTCGGCCTTCCTACCCGTCTTACGAGGTGCAGCTCCTCCATCATTATTTTTTTTGGTATTTCAAGGGTGCTCATTCTGGCCACATGCCCTGCCCACCTTAGTCTGGCCAGTTTAATATACGTGACTACGTCGATGTCTGCATAGAGAGAACTGAGCTCCCTATTTTTTCTTTTCCTCCAGACATCACCATCCTTTACTGGACCATAAATCCTTCTGAGGACTCCTCGCTCAAAGCCACTCAGCTTCATCTCATCCCTTTTGGTCATCGTCCAAGCCTCTGAGCCATATGTCAAAACAGGCCGAACAAGGGTCTTGTATATGATCAACTTGGTCTTCTTTGAGAGGTACCTACTTCTTAAGTGTCGGCCAAGTCCAAAGACACATCTATTGGCAGCCGTGATCCTTCTTTGTATTTCTTGAGCCATGTCATTCTTGCTATTGATTTCAGACCCAAGGTATATAAAACTTTTCACTCTCTCAAACTTAAAAGAACCTACCTCAAATGGAGAGTTCAGATCAACCTCACCGCCAACTCTCATATACTTAGTTTTCCTCTCGTTGACTTCTAGACCAAGTGGTCTTGCAGCTGCTTCAAGGCTTATAAACGCTTCTCTGAGAGCCCGTTCAGACCTACCTACTATGTCAATATCATCAGCAAAACCAAGAAGCTGTGTCAGGCGATTGAAGATTATATCTTTGGTCTGAATACCGGAGTCTCTTACAGCTTTCTCCTCTGCCAAATTGAACAATAGACAGGCGAGGGCATCCCCTTGCCTAACCCCACTGCTCACTTTAAACTCTTCGGAGTCGTCAGAACCGACGCGTATTCTGCATCTCGAGCTGTCCATGGTCATCTTGATTAGGCGTACGAGCTTCTGAGGGATGCTTAGCTCCTCCAAGGCACAGTATAGTTGCGTTCTATCAACGCTGTCGTATGCTGCTTTAAAGTCCAGGAATAAATGGTGGGTGACTACCTTACGCTCCATAGTCTTTTCTAGGATCATCCTCAGAGAGAACAGTTGATCAGTCGTTGAGCGTCCTCTTCGAAATCCAGCCTGATATTTCCCCAGTTCCTTTTCAGAATACGGGAGGATCCTCTCAAAAAGAATGTTAGAGAGCAGCTTATAAGCACACGAAAGGAGTGAGATTCCTCGATAGTTAGCGCATTCTGTTTGATCTCCTTTCTTATGTATTGGGCAGATAATGGCTGTTGCCCATTCCGTAGGCATAGCTTCCTTCTCCCAGATGGTCAGCATTAAATCATGCAGAGCTTTCTTGAGTTCTTCACCTCCACATTTCAACAGCTCTGACTGGATTCCGTCCGGGCCTGGCGCCTTTCCATTTTTCAATTTCCTCAGGGCGTTTTCCATTTCCTCCTCATCCGGGGGTTCAATAGAATTCAGGGAGTCTTCCTTCATTACACCTACTTCTCCAGGCACCGTTCCTCTGTTTAATGCACCTTTGAAATGTTGTACCCATCTCCTTAGTACGTCATCTTTGTGGCTTAAAAGAGTTCCATTTGTGTCTTTGCATGCCGTCACTCTGGGCCTAAAAGCTGCCCTACCCTCGTTTATTCTCTGAAAGAACAGGCGACTTTCATTTTGGCCTCGCAATGCCTCTGTGTCCTCCATGTTCTTATTTTCCCAAGCTCTTCTCTTTCCGCGGAATAATCTCTTCTCTTCGCGTCTTTTTCTTCTATATGTTTCTTGGGAGAGCCTTGTGGGACGCTGAACCTTCTTTCTGTAGGCTTCATTTTTCACTTTTACTGCTTGAAGGCACTCAGCATCAAACCATGGGGGCCTTCTAGATTTAGTCTCGTAGCCAAGAGCTTCTTCTGCTGCCTGTTTCATTGCGTTGCTGCATCTCTTCCACTGTTCATCGACCATAGAGCTGTCATTAATTACTTCTTCATTAAGTTTCGTCTCCACAGCTTGTTGATACGAATATTGGTGGTCTGAGTCCTTAAGTTTAACCACATCAATCTTCTTCTTTGGTCGTTGGTAGTGGTTTTTAATCAGCGAAATTCGTGATCTGACCTCGGCAATGCTCAAATAGTGATCCGTGTCCATATTTGCACCTCTATAAGATCTTGCATTTATCATGTTGGACTTGTGACGGGCACTAATGAGTACATGGTCTATCTGTGATGCTGTTTGCCCATTTGGAGAGATCCATGTTGCTTTGTGGATATTCTTTCGAGGAAAAAGAGT